TGTAAAGCACATTTGTACATTCATTGCCCTCATCATTCTCAAAACATTTGCTCTCCACTTAAGCCCCTGGTATCAGCTCCTCATTTTCCCCCTCCCTCATGGCTCCCCCCACCCTCATGAACCCCTGATAATTTATAAATTTTTATTTTGACATATTTTGCACTGTCCGATGTCTCCTTTCACCCACTTTTCTGTTGTCTGTCCCCCATGGAGGAGGTCACATGTAGATCTTTGAAATCGGTTCCCCCTTTCCAACCCAATTTGCATGTTTTGTTACACATTCTCTCCCCCACCCCACCCACTACATCCAGGACCTTCTAATGTGATCCTTTACAGAAAGTAGTGGTCATTCTACCAATCTCAGGGCTTGGGAGACAGAACAAGTTGCTTCTGAGTGTCTTTGATTTTTTCTTTTTTTAAAAATATTTTTATTGGGGACTTGTACAACTTTTATCACAATCCATACATCCATCCATTGTGTCAAGCATATTTGTACATTTCTTGTCATCATAATTCTCAAAACATTTACTTTCTACTTGAGCCCTTGGTATCAACTCCTCATTTTACCCTTCCCTTCCTGCCGCCAACTTCCCTCACAAACCCTTGATAATTTATAAATTATTATTTTGTCATGTCTTACACTGTCTGACATCTCCCTTCACCCACTGTTCTGTTGTCTGTCCCCCAGGTAGAAGGTTATATGCAGATTCTTGTAATAGGTTCCCCCTTTCTAGCCCACCTTCCCTCTACCCTCCCGGTATCACCACTCTCACCACTGGTTCTGAGGGGTTCATCTGTCCTGGATTCCCTGTGTTTTCAGTTCCTATCTGTACCAGTGTACATCCTCTGGACTAGCTGGATTTGTAAGGGAGAATTGGGATCATGAGAGTGGGTGGAGGAAGCATTTAGGAACTAGAGGAAAGTTGTATGTTTCATCAGTGCTACACTGCACCCTGACTGGCTCATCTCCTTCCTGAAACCCATAAGGAGATGACCAGTTGTCTATAGATGGGCTTTGGGTCTCCAGTCCACACTCCCCCTCATTCACAATGATATGATTTTTTGTTCTTTGATGCCTGATACCTGATCCCATTGATGCCTTCTGATCACACAGCCTGGTGTGCTTCTTCCATGTGGGCTTTGTTGCTTCTCAGCTAGATAGCCGCTTGTTTATCTCAAGCCTTTAAGACCCCAGATGCTATATCTTTTGATAGCTGGGCACCATCAGCTTTCTTCACATTTGTTTATGCACCCATTTGTCTTCAGCAATAGTGTCAGGAAGGTGAGCATCATGGGATGCCAGTTTAATAGAACAAAGTGTTCTTGCATTGAGGGAGTGGAGGTCCAATGTCCATCTTCTACCTTAATACTAAACCTATAAATATATGCACATATATCTATTTCTCCATTATCATATATAAATTTATTTACATATGTGCATGCCTGTATTTAGACTTCTAATGCCCTTTGCCTCCTAGTTCTTTCCTCTATTTCCTTTTACTTTCCTCTTGTCCACTATCATGTTCAGCCTTCATTTGGATTTCAGTAATTCCTCTCGGTTACATTGCCCTTGATCACGCCCTACCTGGCTTCTTAGAGTGTCTTTGATTTTCATTCTTCTTTTGTGGAGGGACAGAGACCAATAGATGTATCTTAGATGACCACTTCCAAGCTTTTAAAGTCTCGTTGCCTCTCATCAAAGTAGGATATATGTAGAATACTGTCTCTGTGAATTCTGTTATGTCATTTGACATTGTTGTCACCCAAACAATGATCCTGAGCCCCGAGGCCTAGAAACACATTCCCATAAGCTGTTTGGTTATATCTGTGAGTTTCCCTAACTCTGCCGCCAGTGTGCTGCACCACTTTCATGGATGTATTTGCAGCAGAAGTAAATACTCACATTCAATATCCTCTGCGAAAACTACCTGTTTGTTTACCGGTGACGCCGACTCTCCTGCCCACATCCTTCAGCCTGAATATCCGTGAAGGTACTTGCCCATCATCATTGCAACACTGCCTTTAACTCTTACATTCTTCTCAGTGCCTCTTCCTGCCCGCATTATTTGTTGCCAGCCTCCCTCTACACTATCTTCCCCTTCAGCTAGGTTACAATGTCTACATGCTAGCTAACAATTTCCCCTCTCACCTCTAGCAACCATCAAAGGATGTTTCTTTTAGTATAAACTTTTTTTTGACTTTTTACAATAGTGGTCTCATACAATATTTGTCCTGTTGTGACTGGCCAATTTCACTCAGCATAATGTCCTCCAAGTTCATCCGTTTCCTGAGGAGTTTCACAGCTGCGTCATTATTCTTTACATTGGGTAATATTCCATTTTATCTATATTCCAAAGTGTGCTTATCCATTCTTTTATTGATGGGCATTTAGCTGGTTTTCATCTCTTTGCTATTGTGAATAGTGCTGGGATGAACACGAGTGTCCATACATCTATTGATATGCATCTAACTCTTTGTGTTGTAGCTCTTATTTCTCTAGGGTATATACTCAGTAGAAGGATTGCTAGGTAATATGATATATTATTTCCAACTTTTAAAAGAAGCATCACACTGCTGTCTACATGGCTGCATCCTGTTATGGCCCTACCAGCAGTGGATGAGGATTCTAATGTCGCCACATTCACGCCAGCATTTGTGGAGTTTGAATAGAACTGGTGTTGCTTCTATTCTGAAAGCCTGGTAGAATTCACCAGTGACAGTTTGGGCTTCGACCTTTTTTGTTAAGAGTTTTTTATGTGACCTGATCAAGTTCTGATTTTGTTATAGATCTGGCCAGATTTTCTACTTCAATCCATCTTAAGGTAAGTGGTACATTTCTATACATTTGTCCATTTTTTCGGAGATTTCTGATTATTGTTTTAGTAGTGTTCTTCCGTCATGACATCACCCATTTCATTTTTTTATCCATGTTGTGTACATCTTCTCCTTTTCCTTTCTTAGATTTTCCAATAACTTATTGGTTTTATTAATCCTTTCAGAGAACCAACTAACTCCTAGTCTTGGTGGCACTATGGCTTCTGTTTCCTGTGTCGTTTGTGGTTGCTCTAATCTGTGTTGGGTCCTGTTCCGGCATCTGTGGACTGGTCTTGCTGCTCCTTTTTGAACTGTTGGGGGTGTTGGCTCAGGCACTGATTGGGTTCCTCCTGCTTTCTGGATGTCCGCAGTGAGTGCCCACTTTGGAATGTCCACTTTTGCTCTGTCCCAAAGATTTGGTTCCTTTCATTCTCATTTGATGCAAGGAATTTTTTATTTCATTTTTCAAATTTTTCTATTACCCAGTAGTTTTTAAGCAGAGTGGTATTCAATTTCAATGGACTTGCTCTTTTTTTCTTGATCTTCCTACTGGTGATTCCTAATAATATAGCATTATGATCTGAGAGCATGTTTTGTAGTATTTCAATGTTTTAAAATATATTGAGTCTTGCCTTGTGGCCTAAGTCTAGTCTGGAAATTGTTTGATGTTATACACTCAATATCTCGACCAAATTCATGTACTAAAGAGATTATGTGACATGTAAAGTGGGGGAGTGAGCACGTTTCCCAGAGACCACGTGTGCCCACAGAGAGTCAGAGAGCTGCTCGCCCTTCAGGACCAGGCAGCAGGGGAACCGCTGAGATTCTACAAGCAAGGTCATTCTCACGGGTGCCTGTCCTTCCGGGGTCACTTGTGAGGCCACTGAACTCCCAAAATAAGGGAACTATGGGAAGGACCAGTAACTTGAAAATCTCACTCTGATGTTTGCTTTTCCCTTTCCAGACAATAGTTTACTTCAGAATATACAGAATTCTTCCCCTCATGTTAAAAAAAAAAAAATCAACATTTCGCCAATTTGATTTTTTCCAAAAATAGTGATTTATAATACATCTAGTTATTTACCAAGAAGGTTTATTTTTAGAAGAATGAAGCAATGGAAAATATTTAAAACTTCATTTTTCACAATTTAGGTGAAATCCATGATGTGGGGTCCTTTTCAATTTTGCTTGCTGGCCGTCTTGAGTTACTCTTCAAAAAGCATGTTGCTAAAAGAGGAAAGAACAATTGATGACTTAATTTCTAAATTTAAAAACTGTCATCTAAATGAATCACAGTGTCACAGACTCAGTTTTAAATGAAGTCCTCGTTAGCAGTCTCCTGGCACCCTCCCAGTTGGCAGGCGGCCCCGCCCAGCCTCCTCTGCCATGCTCCAGGCAGAGACCTGGCCGATGGGGTTCACGTGATTCTGACACTGGGACATGAGGGGGAGCACAGATGTCAGCCCCAGAAAGAAGGTCATTCTGATTTAAGACATGAATGAGATCGCTGGAGAATCTGTTCTCAGTGAATGAACAGTAGAAATATCTAGGTGAGGGAAAATATACGTCCTTGTCCTTGGGGGATGTGTTTAAATGGCACAGAACTCTGAGCAGCATGCCTAGCTTCTACAAGTCGGGTCCTTCATGAGCCTATTTGTTCCTTTTATTTTTATTTTAAACATGTTTTGGCCTATAATTATCACATCATACAATTTAATAGTTCAAGCATATCAAGAAGGGTTGTGCAGTTCTCATCACAATCAACTTTGGAAACTTTTCTTCCTTCTGGTACACATAGATGTGGACTCTCTTTCCCCACCTTCCCCTTCCATGCTGGCAAGCAATCGCTCATCCAGCGAATGTCTTCATGTCTCCACCCATCCTGCTCTTCCCCTGCAGCTAACCATAAAGATAAAAGGCAAACAACCAACAAGGACCTAGCCACCATGGCCATATCAAACACAGAAGACCTCAATCTAAGAAAACACAGAGTCTATCAAACTTTTAGAATCAATTCACACTGGATCAAGAGGAAGATCAAATTACAAGGTGTTACATGCCCGCAAAATTCACTTTACAATACTCTGATATTAAGGCTATTAATGTTCCTGGCCTATGTGTATTGGGGATTCACTGGGGACTCAATCCACGTAGGGACCCTGCAAGTGGATTTGGGGCTATCACTATCATCCTTAGTTTTCTACAAACTAAGTGTTTAGAATTTAGGCACTGGTACTGTTCCCTCCTCCAGGTTTGGATCTTATTACTTAAAATCCTTGGATCACACTGCTGATGTCCTTCTTCCCTGTAGACTTAGCTGACTCCTCATTTAGATGGATGCTTACTTTGAGACAAGGCTTTAAGAGCCCAGAAGCTTTCTTAAGATCGCTGGGTATCATCTGATTTGTTCACTACACTTTGCTATGACCCCCATGTCTTCAGTATTCTGTTCATGAAGGTGAGTAGCAGGCAGGGTCATGTCATAAGAATTAATTGTTCTTATAATTTGGCCATGATCAAGCGAGATCTCAAAATCCATTCAAATAACTATGGTTTCTATAAGCACCTGGTTCACTTTTAGAAACATCATTGTCATTTTATCATAGTACATCATAAATCATCCCCATGGAGTTTAACAAAATTCTATCAATAATAACATCAGTTTAGTCAATGGTAAAGCACTGTTGAACAAAGGATTGTATACCTGTGTAGGACTTCTTATTAGATCCCAATAGATGAATTGTTCACTTGCCTATCTTCAAAACGTGGGTGACTGTACAGTAAGTACACATGCCATTAGGGTTGGAGATAGGGCAATACTTTCAGTAAAATTCACTTATAACGTTGAACGATGCCCAACACCCAGTTGACTAACACATGTCACATAAAGACACAGAGAGTGTGAAAATAGGTGCCATTCATTGGGCGCCCTCAGAGCAATAGATTAGAATCTACCCAAATTGCAAAGAGCACCAATTCCTTAACCTGCAGATGGTGATGGGCTGCTTCTTCTCCCCCTGGGGCATTTTAGCTTAAAGTTCAAGGGAGTGTCTCCATTCCTTAATTCTGATATAAGTGAGTTTAAAGTAAAGTGTTTAGTGGGGTTTCCAATTCCAGTCCTTCCAGTGTGATCTATGAAAGGTGTTGCGTATCCCAGGACAGGGTCTAATATCCGGGTTGTCCATGGCATGTTGCCTGGGTTACCAAAGGTTAGTTGGGAATTAGGTCAAATGTTCCCAGTAAGAAAATAATACTGGACCCATTTTCCCCTTGGGTCTCTACAAGCAATGCTAAGCATGTTTCTCTAAGGTGGGATACCCCACCTGGTCCCCACACCACATTGTCCTTTTTATATTGCATCATAAGATAAACTGGAAGTAATTGTTTAAAAGCAAAGCAGCATATCAATTTGAAATGTTTCTACTAAGTTTGTGAAGGAATTCATTTACTGAAGTTGAGAAGACGTGAGAGTCGTGTACCACAAAACGATTTGCTCTCCGTACAATACAATTGTCTGCATACGGATTGACTATGTCAACAAATCAAATTTAACATCTCAGAAACAGGCTGTCCACTTTTTAAATCTTAACTATAAAATTTAGTATACCTTGAATATCATTTTTCTAAAAAAATCCTCTCCCTTTAATTAAAATACTTTTATTTTCTGAAATATTTAAATGGAACATCTTGTTTTCATTCATTTTGCTAATAATTTTCAGAGACTATTTTGGATGAAGCAAAATTGGAGCAACTTAAAGCTACACTTTGAAGTATCATTCCAATTTTCTGCCACTTTGGGGGTGCTCATTTGTAAGTCGGTAGATAGATATGCTTCTGAAACCCTCTCCACTGTGGGGTGTCCAGTGGATGATAAGACCCACGGTGCAGGCTGACCTCGCAGGACAAAATTTCCCTGCAGGAAATGCCATCTCCCAATTTTATGTCCTTTCTTGGGGCAGTGGGGTGGGAGAGGCTGCTCCTATCCACTGACTGGTGCTGTGGGAAGTACACAGACCCCATGCTTCAAAATAAAGGCTAAGGCCTCGGCCACCAAAGCATCACCATTCAGTTCCTCCCTGTGCCCAGTCCGAGCCCATATTCCTGAGGTTGTTCTGGGAGCGGTCTCTGAACGAAGCCCGCCACAGGCAGATGTGTCTCAAAATCCACTCCTCAGGCGAGCGCAGCCTGGGGGGGGGGGGTGTTAAGAGCCTATTGCTCGCTTAGACCTTCTTTCTGAGGTAAACCTGGAACATCTCGCTTAAAAATCTTACCTCAAAGTCAGTGATGTACATGAATGAGACTCTTTTTTAAGGGAAAAACTTTCCAATCGTGCCTGCCCAATGTTCCTAGAAATATGAGCTTTGCCCCTCAGAAAGGCCTTTTGAACTAAAACACTTAGCGGTTACCACTCTCGTTATCAGCAAGATTCAAATCTACGGAGAATCACAGACCCCGACTCCTGGAAAGAAACCTGAGAAATGCAACTGTCTTCAATTTTGGGTAGAATTCCAGGAGAACAATGAACTTTCCCAAGAGTTTCCCATGAATTCCACTTTAAGAGCAACTGGTTTATAAATAAAAGTGGCAGAAATATATAATCTCAAATCAGTTGGTACCAGCAAAAAAAACAAATAAATGAATAGGAAGTTTCAAAAAATGTATGTTAAAAATGTCCAACTTTTAAATTTTGAAGCTAGTTATTAGAGTTGCACAGGTGATTAATAGCACTGAATTGTACATTTAAAATTATGTCTTTTATGATATCATATGTACTTTTTAAAGTTTCATTAGGGAAAAAAAAATCCATGATATTTGAATTCCATTTTTCCACCAGCTTTTTCAAGCCACCTGTGAGGGTGTATATTTATATAATGTAGATGTTCATATATATATATATATATACACACAATAAAACAACACATACATACACACTAGTGTCTTCCTTCGCCATAACATGTCATCCATTTGAATAAACAAACTTCAGACACACTTACATTTTCCAGATTCACGGCTGCTGTGTTTGAACTTAGCTTTTCACGATACTTCTTCTTGGTGCAGTAGACACTGACGAGGGTGACTATCAGCATCAGGGCAAACACAGCGACAGTGGAAGAAGTGGCGATGATGATGGTGTCTCGCGTTGAGCCTCGCGTCTCGCACCTTTCCCCCATGTACCACCAGTCTGGCCCCGACGGACACCTACGCAGTTAAGAACATGACTTGAAATCTAGAAATCATCCAGGTCATTGGCACGTGGAACCGTGGCACAGGCTCAGAATGGAAGGAAAACCATTAGATTGATTAGTACCTGGAGACCAGGCTTTCATAGAGGTGAAAAATGGGAGATGGAATTTCTCCTGCAGTTCGTTGCTGCCTAATGGACTCCCCATCGCGTCGGCCTCATCTGCACGGAGACCGAGCGCCAGCCCTTCTTCTCAGACACTTCTCTGTGTGTTCCCACCACCGCCCTTCAGGTTGGCCTGGCCAAGCCCTTCCTCCTCTGTGCCACCTGGGACTCGCAGGCTTCCTCACAGTCTGACCATAAAGGACCAGCTCCAAAGACCGGGAGGAAGGTAGAACGGAGTCTTAGATTCCTAGTGCTGATGGAACAAACAATACCACAAAGTGGGGACCTCAAAGAACAAGAATTCCTTTTTTCACAGTGTGAGGGGCAGGGGGGTCGGTTCTAGGTCCTGGCAGACCAAGGCCGTCTCTTTCTCGGTGGACGCTAGGGTAGCCCCTCGTGTCTTTCTGCTTCTGTAGTTCTAAGCTTCCTTGGTTGCTTCGAGGCATCTCTCTGCCCTGTGTGTGGGGGGGGAGTCTGTACTTATTCTTCCCTCTCCCTTTGTGTAACTCATTTTATTTCTTATTCTCCTGGTTGAGAATACAAACAGAAGAGATACCAATTCAACCATTTCTGCATGTGCAATTCGGGGACACTGATTACACTCTTTGAGTTGTGCGATTGGGTTGACCCTCTTTTTCTGAAGTGTTCCTCTCCCACAAACATCCACTCACTGGCCCAAAAGTTACCTGTCTAATCTCATCGTTCCCACCGTTGATTTGATCCCAAAGAGCTAGTCATTTAAAAGAGCGCAATCCACTCCCCTAATACAAGAACACCTTGCCCAACTAAACGGTCATTTTATATCTACCTTCCCGACATGATCGCTGAAGACAGATGTGTGCATGGGAAAATGTGGTGAA